TTTGAGAATGATAAGGACTTGCTAGTAAGGACAGCTTGCATTTTGTTTTGTGTCTTTATATGAATTCTTATAGAGGTAAATTCTGTGGTTGTCCGAATCTCTGTAGATTTGTGTCAAATTGTTAAAATCTGCAAGGTTTGAAAATTTTCAGATTTAAATAGAAGCAAAAAGTAGAGCAGTTTTGTTTGAAAAGCATCAAATATGCTAGCAATCAATTTGACATTTGGAAGCAAAATAGTTACAACAGAGGTGGTTTCCCTAAGGCTCACCTGCCCATAAATTTTCAAGATCAGGTTCTGGAGCATAGGAAGCCTGAAAAAAGTTATGTTCAAAAATTAAGTAAACAAATATTTGACAGCCATACTATGTTCTTGTAGAGGTAGCAGAGGTAACAACTTAAATTACATGAGTAAATCTATAAAATGAGCAACTCTTTAATTCTAAGTTTGGTTCATTTTTGGTATTATATACCCCAAAGCACAATTTAGCTGTAACCTGAATTCCATATCATAGAAAGAATCATCAGTGAGGTTCCTGGGGATAAAATGATATCAAAAATCTGAATTTGGCATGAGCTTAAAATCTGTATCATTTAATATATATTTGGAAAATCGTGCACTATTTTTCGTGTATTATAAAGCTACTCTAGCTGCTATAGAAAGTGCAATAGAGCAAAAGGGATGCTATATGAATCATTGACATAATACTCCAAGTTCTTCAACCAAGCATGTATCGTATAGGCTCATAATCTCTATATGAGCTAAAATGATGATCTCATTCTATTTGACTGATTTTCCCATTTTTAGATGAAAATTAATTTCTTTTTTCATCGCGACTTTTGCCTCACTTCTACAAAAAGTGCAGCAAACCAAACATTGTAGAAATGATATTAGGTTCATTTTGATTTTGGACAACACATTTCCCCATAACTTGTGAATGAATGTCCACATCCAAATATGAAAAAATATAACCCATTTTATTGCATATTGGTAATTGTGATCATGAAAATTATATTTACATATTGCTCATCATGCAGAACTAGCTTAACCAGAGATAAATCTAACTATCCTTAGATTATTCTCATTTGGGTAACTGACCAAATCTACTATCACTTACTTATCTAAGTGCAGTCATAGAGGTTTATTTTAAGGATATAAAAAGTCCATATCTTATACAAACCCCGATATGACCAAACCACAAGAATGTGTAGTATCATAGTATAAGACTTCAGAAAACAACTTAACAATAATATAGAATCTTGTAGTGAAAAAAAGGCACCATGCAAAGCTAAGCGTGACAGTGGGAAACCACAAAGGATTATTTTTCAAAGCCTTACAAACCATAGGAATTATAAATAAAGGCATGTTTAGTTAGCAGGGGTGGATGAGTGATCTGGTGGTGGATTATGTGCAAAAATAAGTGTGATCATTTTAAGACCATTTTATATGATCTTTTTATTTGGCGTGATATATTCATCAATCCAATCAACTCATTAGCGTGATTCACTCATTAAGTGTTGACTTGACTCTGTGTAGATTAATTAAATAAAATCCCACCCTTTTGTGACCATCACTTTTATACTACTCTTGCCCACCATGTAGTGGCATAAAACAGTCTTTTCAGGAATGTTAATTTATATTATATGAAAGTAGAGGCCATATGCTCAAAAACATTCTACAGTAAAACCTGTATATAATGAACACCTCTCTATATGAACACCTCTCTAATATGAACACATCTCTTATATGAACACCTCTTATATGAACACCTCTCTTATATGAACACATCTCTTATATGAACACCTCTCTTATATGAACACCTCTCTTATATGAACACCTCTCTTATATGAACACCTCTCTAATGTGAACATCTCTCTATATGAACACCTCTCCTATATGAACACCTCTCTATATGAACACCTCTCCAATATGAACACCTCTCTAATATGAACACCTCTCTATATGAACACCTCTCTAATATGAACACCCCTCAATGTGAATGCTTTTTGTCCCATATTTAATTTGCCATACACTTCCATGTTAAAAAACTTGAATGTGAACACTTTTGATGGGTTCTAGTGGTGTTCAGATTTGACAGATTTGACTGTTCGTTAAACATGTACAAGTGGAACACCTTTGGTGCATCTAACTAGTGTTCCATCTAATGATGATCTTACAGTAAGTTTATTTAATGGATGGCACTACTTTGAAGTGTTCTTCTTATGGAAGTGTTTCACATATACCACTTATAAGTGTTCTACTTTACTAGTTTAACTGCCTTTTGTTATGGCCAACCAACATTAACACAGCTGACTTAAGGTGGCTCTAGATGTCTTCTTCTTGCACCATGTTCCATGTTCCAAATTACAGAGGTGTTTTACTGTATATCAATTTTTACAGTAAAACCTGTCTAATCTGAATGCCCCTGGGACTGGTCAAAATGTTCAGATTGAAAGATGTTCAGAATTCAAGGGTTCGGAACATGGAAATCTAAACCAGATTAAAAATTAGGAACAAAAAGCAATCACATGGAGAGCTATTCAGATGAGAGTGCTGTATGGATACAAGGTATATTGTACCCATAATGGTTATACAGATTTGGGGTGTGGGTTTGGTCAATTCCAATCCATATAATATAAAATGTTGACTACCTACCTGTTTATTGAGCTACACACTTGTCTGCTTTTTTCACAATATGGCCACCATGGCTATAGGAGTTGGCCTGTTAATAAGGTAATTGAGACCACCGAAGAAGATGTAGTAACTGAAAACGAAGGAGCAATTGTGCGTTAACTGATCTCTATGGGCAGTACAGCTGATTGTAACTAAACTTTATTAGGTTTTCTGTCTATGGGGTATACTATAATGCAGAACTACATTGTATTCCATACTTGATGAGGTTTCAGGGACATATCAACCGGGACTATATTCCATATCCGGGCAAATATTTTTTGTATGTCCCGCTCCAACGGAGCTCCGGGACATATAAATCGTATATCCCGCTCAAAAAAGATTTTTGAAAAAAAATTTAAAAAATGTTGAAAAAAAGAAAAAAATCCTGAAAAAAAATTATGGAAAAAATGTGAAAAAAATTTTGAAAAATAATTTGGGGAAAAAATTGAAAAAAAATTTGGGAATTTTTTTTTTCATTTTTTAATTTGGAAAAAAATGATAGCATATTTTGCAGGTAAACACACCAGAGCATATGGGATGCTTATTATTTCAAACCTCATCAGGTATGGAATACAACAGTTATGCACGGTCGGTTTGGATACAGGAAATATCCCTTGGGATATACAATATATCTTCCCTTGGTCCCTTCAGTCCTTCGGGAAATTATCATATTTTGGCCAAAGAAGGCAGCCTATCTGATCTATGTTTGCTATTATCCAGAATTATGATTTTTATATCATTTATAGTCGGTTGAACATTAATGCTGTCCTTTCTCATGTTGATTTTTATGCTTCCTCATCAAAGAATTAGTGTCAGTGATGCAAAACATGATACCGGAAATTCTTGTGTGCTGCTAATCTCCTAGATAGAATATCTGTGAATCATAATGAAAATACTGAGTCAGGGATATTAGATACTATTCACCGTGGCAGAAATTTCCATTTAGGAGGTACTTATTTCATAAAGTTCCTCAGAAATTAAATGACAAATCTGATTTTCCGTTAATTTCAAATATAATGGGAGTGTCATTTCATTTACATTTGCTTGATTCTTTGCTGATATAATTTCCAGGAATTCATTTTATATTTCAATATATGACCTCTATTATATTTTTTAAGGGAATGTATGGTTGAAATAAGAGATGTTGATATTGTAATGCGAGAGAATTTCAAACATGGATTTCAAGTATACCTTGCAGGTGAACTTTTCAATCTATGCATCTTTGCTCAAGATTTCCACAAAAACTTGATTTAGATTTTGCATTTCTGCACAATTTGGATTATGTATATGAAGCCTGTTTCCTTTATTCCTTGTGTTTCCACTCATTCCTCTCTTTTCTCGTGTTCCAAAACATGATCCCCTCATCTTAATCAAGAAATGTTTTGCTTCACATGATGTGTCTGTTTTTGCCACTATGACCTATACCTTGTCCTTAGACATCTGGAAACTGGTTGGTGGTGTAGATTATTAGGGGGAGGGAGCAGACGCATTATCAAGGAGTATGTTTATGTATTAGACTGTTTTGCTTGAAATAGATAAAAAGTTGTTTTTGTTTGTTTGAAGAGGCCATCAGGTGCCATATTAGGAAACCACATCATTGTAGTCATCTGGGTTGTTGCCATCATGTGGTCAGGTGACATTTTGACTATCCAGGGGTGATTAAATGATTGAATCATGACTATGCAACCAGATTGCTTTCCAGGGGGTATTGAGGCTGAAAACAAATCTATGATATATTGTTAACAAAACTCAAAACAAAACATAACATGATATGAAAATACAAGAATTTAAATATATGTGTACTTCATTTTCAAATACTGTAGGTTCTAAAATTAACCAAAAAAAGTTATCAATATGCAGTGCTCATTCATAGATATTTCCATATTAGCATCATAAAAAGCGTACCATGAATCCATTCCCATTTCAAACATTAACATCAATAAAATAATTTTTATATCAACATAATGAAAAGGGAAATGAACAAAGAAGGATTTTCCTTGTTATTTTTACACTTGATTAAAGATGAAGAAACAATAGTACTTATCTAAGAGTTGATGGCATTATCTTAGACCAGCTACTTTTGCTGTGATATCTTCAGCTGTAGCTACTGTTGGGGACATGGCCCCAGTTGCCCTGGTGATAGTTACCCTGGTTATCACCATGGATACTTCCTATGTTGACACAGTCATAACATCACCTGGTAATTCTAAACAATTCTATTCCATACATTGAGAAAGCTGTGGGGTATAATATAAGCCAAGCTGAAACAAGGTGTCAATGTTGTTCTTTGAGAGTATTTGTATTATTTGTCTCCCACATCTCTATTGTTGAAAAACCATGAAAATATGAATTATTAAACTTGAGAAACTTGTTATTGTTGAGATCATTTTCAAAAAATATGAATTTTATTTTCTTATTTTACATTTACCCATGTTTCTTTTTACAGTGATTTTATATTATATATTATAATCAAGACATTGTCTTTCAAAGGGTCTCTTCAAATTGTTTTTCATAAACACATCTTCTTGAACTACAATTTATCTTAAATTCTCAATGTCTCTGATAGGGCAATTGATTCCTCTGTTAGGGTCAAGTGTTGCGATGACACACTCGTTGCAGTGTGTGCAACCACTCTTAATTTCAATGTTTTTATTATGTGATAATGCGTCTTCAATGTTCTTTACCATGTTGGGGTCATGAATGAGAGCTCGTGCCATTTGAACCAATGAAAACCCCTCACTCATTGCCCCTTCCATGGTTGATAAACTCGTGATGCCGCCTAAAAGACAAACAGGAATATTGTCTACGGATTTAAGAAACTCTCGGGCTGACTCTCTAAAAAATGCTTCTTCAAATGGAATCGTAGGTACAAACCAACGTCCGAATAAAGTTACGGCAAGTTTTTTTGCCATCCCAGGCATTGCAGAAGCGAGGGACTTCAACGGGGTTGTTCCTCTCAACATGTAGAATCCATTCCTCGATACAAAACCACCACTTAGTACAAGAGCGTTGGCTCCAAGTGACTCAAATGTTTTTGCAACTATTTTTGCATCATCTAATGTTATTCCCCCTTGGAAACCATCGTCCATATTCATTTTAATAAGTATAGGAAAATCTGCACCTACTACAGTTCGAATATCCTTGTAAACCCTGGCAGGAAATCGCAAACGGTTGTCAATAGAGCCACCATATGTATCAGTGCGCCTGTTGCTGTGGGGTGACAAGAACTGGGAGAGAAGGTAACCATGTCCTACATGTAGTTCTACCGCATCAAAACCAGATTCTTTCACAAATTTTGCTGAGGATGAGAAGTTTTGCGCTACACGATCCATATCGTCTTCTGTCATCTGTCTTGGCCAATCAAAACCTGCAGGATTAAAGACTGAAGATGGCGCCACTTGCTGACTCCCTGTTACCTGAAAAAATGCATTTCCAGTATGAACAAAAAGTCTGAGATTTTTCTTTATTTGAAACCATGTACAGAATATAGATGGAACTATCAATCATACATGACAAAGACTGCATATTTTGATACCACATACGCAAGTATTTAAATGTTTTCAGTGCTTTTAGTATAATTATCCCAACAGACAGATCTTGATAGGGGTATATTATCGAAGCTGTTATCCAACCTGTTTGTCAGTTTAACAGAATAAGTTTGTTGAAACAGCATGTTGAAATACAGGGTGTCCATAATGCCTCCTTCAATAACAATACAAACGTCTGTATAAAGTGTAGAGACATTATAGACACCCAGTATACCTTACAATAATTTATATCAGTGAACATTCTTGTTAACATCATATGATAGTAGGGGGTACATATTGGTTCTACAAAGTTGTACCTAGCTGTGCCTCAGATTATTATATGAAATTTTAGTGAATTTCACTATTGCCATTTATTTACCTTTCTATCAGCAAAGCCTCCAGCATGCGTCAATTGTATGGAGATGGCAGCACCTGCTGAATGGACAGCATCAGACAGGCGCTGAAGATTCTCTCTCTGGTCCTCACAGAGAAGAATCTGAGACTCGAAGCTCCTGCCATCAGATGAGACAGATGCATATGCTATTGTTGTCATAGCAACACCACCTCTCGCGACTTCTACATGAACCTTGATAAGATCATCGAAATTTGCGCCCCCAAATGCTGCAGCTCGTATGATCCGATTTTTCAATGTTAAACCACCAAGTTTGATTGGCTTAAGAATTTTACATTCATCTATGGATTGTGGAAGTTTGGCTGTGAGTGGCTGTGACATTTTATATATTGATAACTGAGAAACTAGAAGCAGTGTTCCCGTCTGCTGCTTTTATTACTCAATACCTGCAGTGCTATCCTTCATATGAGATTACCTCCAAGCAAGTGCTGCCCTCTTTATTATCATCTTCAAACTGAAACTCTATCCAAATAACAATGGTTGTTTCATACAATAATATGGTTTAATCCTCCATAGTATGAAAATCAGTTTTGCTTTTTATTAAGGTATGAGTTTGTTTTTGAGTTTCATATGGGAAATCATCTCAGTCTGATCTGCTGATTCTGGGGTCAATGTTCATAAACATGAATATGCTACTCTGTACTCATTCAGTTCTATTCTGTTATTTATTAACTTTAAGCAAAGTTAATGATGACACAACAACCTGTTGTGGAATTCTGCCAACATTTTTATTATTGTGAGTCTAGTGTTAATTGATTTGTTTTTATATGAGACTACAATTTATGCTTACATCTTGGATATAATTAATTTTGACATTATTCACCTGTCTTTTGGGTGCATTTAGCATTAAAATGCACTCTTTCTGTTTGATATCAATTCATCCAATAATTCACCCCCCCCATCAGATTATCAGGAAAAATTATCAAAGATTTGTTTTCACAGCTCTCGGGATTTTTACCATTTTGATTTTTAGAAAGATTAGAAATAAAAGGACAAAAACTTTTTCAAAAAACCTTGCTTGTCTGTCTGAAATTTGAGACCCTTATGACCAGAGACAAGAATCCAGTTCCTAGCATTTGGTGTTTTTTTAGACCTTGATGTATTCATAACTCGCAAAATTGATATTGAGTCTTTTTTTTCTTGTTCTCTTTTGACATGAAATTGTGATTTAGTTGTCTATTTGGCTATACACTTATCTTAAATGAAGTTTCATTAATTATGCAGTTGTTTGTATTCACAAATAAGTACCACAATATTATAAGTTATTGAATGATTTGAAGTGCAATACACGATATATTCTGCTCGAGAAATTCCGTATTGGAACGAGACGAAGTTGAGTGCCAATACAGAATATCGAGACAGAATATATCCTGTATTGCACTTCAAATCATTTAATAACGTTTTTATCGTGTGATCCTCTGTATTGCCACTGAGATTATCCCCTCCGTACCAATATTTTTTGTATTGCGACGGAGATGATCAACGGGGACAATCTCAGTAGCAATACAGATTGGTACAGCACAAGAACTGACCAATCAGAGGGCTTCATTTTACATATCATACGATAAAAGGTTATATTGTGTAACTCAAACGCTTAATCTTCCAAAAACTATCTATACCAACAGGTCAGGATTCTTATAAACATGCATACATACAATAAACATAACACAGATTGAAATTAAGTGCTTGTATAATCAATTATATATTTTTAGTTTTATATAGTTTTATTTTCTTAAAATAACAAATAGGCTGAGAATTAAGGATGCCAATCAAAATATTGATTTAAGACATCAGTGATCACAATATCTCACTTTTATTGCATTAGTAGATTGAAATATAACTTCTTCAAAGATAGAATGTCATTGAAAGTCAAATTGAGAAGCTTTAATATTTTGGTGACCAGAATTAGGCGGAAAACAATGCATACCATGTGTTTTCCTCTATGGGGGAAAAAACATGGGATACATTGTTTTCAACTTCACGACATTAGAAAAATGCTAAATAAATAATAATCAGTCTTTCTATTTAAATTAAATAACAAAGGAAGTGGTAAAATTTCATTTATGTCATTTCTAAAGTGCATCTTTAACATATCTGACTTTCAGTGCATAACATTACACAAAATAAATTACTAACAAATAACTTATAAATTACATAGTGCACTTTATTCAAGTTGAATACATTAATATATAAGTGCTTTAGTGGTGTATGATATTTGGCATGTACATTAACTATGATATATTATTTACATTATATTCTACTCTATTTTTTCAAAATTTATTATTTGTGATTTCAATTGTTTAACTAAAATTATAGGGTGGGCCAAAAATGCCCAAGATATTTATTTTGCTATTTTTCAAATGCATGGATTCAAATTTTATTTTCACAAGAAAATGAGCAATCAGTTATATAATCAATCCCAAAATAGCATTGTGACATTTGTAACGGTAGTTGAATTGAATATATTATAAGTTAAGTGCTCTGATATATACATAGAGTGAGAGATATTCATATATAATATAAACATGATCAAACAGTTTTATATAATATTTTTTTAAAACTATTCTATAATGGCATTTTCAGACTTCAAGTTCATCTTTAACAAGCAGAATCAGATTTTCAGTACATGACCTTACAAAAATAAATGGGCTGTGAAATGTTATTTACATTATTTTGGCTTGAACCCCTTTAATTTTGATTTCAACTTTGTAAATAAATTACAATGTATACAATTATCGAGAATATATCAGAACATATCATATGTTCCCTTTCCAGCCAGTATATGTACTTTTTACACAGATCATTATAACCACAGCTCAGTTTATATTTTTCTAGATAAATCCATATTGGCACCTTGATATCAAAGAGCTAGTAGCAGTAGCATATTAGCCATTTGATACACATATTCAACTATATTACAAATAAATTTCAAAATATAAATTATTAATTCACACTCAATCAGAATTAAGTTAGGTGCTAAGATTTTTAATAAGTTGTATATTTACAAAATCAGTCAGTTTATATAATGTTCAATTATTCAAAGGATTCCATATTGTCATATTTGAATTCATAACATTTTTAATTATATCTTCACTTGTTGCAATTGTATCTTCTTCTTTCTCTTCATCAATATCAGCTCTTTGCTTGTACTTAATATTTACAAGTGGCTTATTACCCATGATGGAACTTTTCTGTGCTCTTATTGTATGTGGCCTCTCTTTATCATATGTTTGAACATGTGTTTTTATTTGGAGAGTTTTGTTATTAATTTCTTTAACTTCATTGTCATTAACACTTTGATCAAAAGCATCATCCATCATTGGAATAATATTTCTCTTTTGATAAGTGTTAACATCAATTTTGCTTGTGTCCTTATCAAGGACTTCATTTATTTCTTCTGACATTTCAATATTTTCTTCATCATTTCCTTCAAACTCTTGAATTTCCATTGATTCTTTCTGCTTTTCCTCATTGGCAACTATCGACTGGCGACTGATTGTATGACTAGGCAGTGGCCTGCTGATTGTGTGAAAATTCTCCATTGGCAGCATATTTATTGTGCAAAATTCTTTAGATCGTAGCATATTCATCGCTCTATGTTCTTCCGGTGGTGGCTTGGGGATTGTGTGATATTGTAAAGCAGATGGTCTGCTAATCATATGAAATTTCTTGGGTGGTAACTTGCTCATCATGTGGTAGCGCACAGGAGGTAGTCTGCTAATTGTGTGAAGTTTTTTGGGTGATGGCCTGCTCATTGCTTGAAGATCTTCAGGTGATGGCAGACTAACTGCTGGAAGATTTTCGTATGAAGAACTACCGACTGCTTGGAGATTCTCAGATGAAGGCCTAGTGATTGTGTGAAGCTTATCAGATTGTGGCAAGCTGATAGATTGACTTGTAGCTGGCCATCTACATTCATCCAATGTTTTTGAATCATTGTGATCAAAAACTTGTATGTTGGCTTGTGCCCTAGGATGTTCTACTTTCTCTTTCTCATTGATAATGCTGCTACTACTATTACTGCTACTATCGCAGCTCTCCCAGGGTTTCCAAAGCTTTGAACCACTTGTTTTTTTGTGTTCCTGCTTTTGTTGTTGCTGCGGCTGTGGCTGTTCTCTCACACCATACAACTGGTCCTTAGGAGATGTCATTGTAGGAGACGTCATTGTAGGTTCTGTATTTGAACGCAACTGGAAACCTTCATTCATGCTGTGCATGTTGACCGCTGCACTTGCTCCATATTTACCTAGGCTTGAATTTGAAGATCCTCCCTTCCTTGCTCGTATGTACTTCTGGGCACGCAAATGATTCCTCGATTCCATGGAATGTGGTCTATTATAGATCTGACTCCTTCCACTAGATGCAAATGAAGATACATATTTCATATGTTTTTTCTTCATTCGCTTAGCCATATCTAAAAGTAGGAATGATCTAAGAGACATATCATGCGCTGATGGCTTATTGTGAATAGAAGGTGGAATCGCTGTTGATAGTACATGTCCATGCATGCCTTTCCATTCTGAGGGATGCTGTACTGGGAAGGGATATCTTGTATTCCCAACAGGGACCCGAACTGGATCATACGAAAGCATCTCGATACCTATATGAGAATATAAATCATTTCATTTTATTTAATTCTTTCAATGCTGTTGTTTCAATTTGCATATTGAAAACATTTTGATATAATATATTTATTTATCTCACCTTTTCCTGTCATGCTGTACACCGGCTGTGAAACACCATTTTCATTACAGGCTAACTCAACTTCACATTGGCTGAAAAATACATTAGTAGTGTTACATGGGCTTATATTTGATAATGAAATGTTATATACTCGTATATGTGTGTTTATCACCAAATGTTTTTGTAAAGGTTCCATTACTATTTGAGAGGCAAATGGATAAGTATTTGAAATTGATCAATATGTAATGATAATCATGAATTTCAGATTTTCATTTGCCAATACTTGTCGGAATAAGTTATACTTCTTACATTTTTGGGGATATTAACATGTAAAGGTAGAAAACATAGCTTGGAATCATATTTCAGTTTAATAGTCAATTGAGATTTTCCCCATAAATGTGTTTGGGGAAACCATATGCAGCTACAAAAAAGCTATATTCTTCAACTGTGTAGATGTGCTAAGTATTCTAATCAAACTGTTATGAACATGTTATATATTTAGCAGATATAATTATCAAGTATCATATGTGTTTAATTTGCTATGCACATCGTTTTTTCATTTAATTTATATATGCTAGAAGATCCATGTGACATTTTTCAGAAAATCATTCATCAGCCTCATATGCGGCTGATATCAGCTGCATATACCAGTTGCATATCCACCATATGATAAACGAAGAAATTTTCAAGGTCAAAGGTCAAGGTTATCGGACTAGGTCATAAACGGTGTAATCTAAGTTTTCTTAAAGTTCGAGACTATAAATCAACATTCTTGCTGAAAGTCAGGATATTCATTCTTCTAAAGATTCTATACAATAAAATATCTTTTAAAATTCTGCACCAGTTATGAGATATTAGAGCTGAAAAACTGAAAAGGTTATTTCTTAATGTTTCCAAGTTCAAGTTCATCTTTCTTCAAATTCAACAAATCTTTTCTTACATCATCTTCAAATGATAGGTATCGATATGGTGAATTGAATTCAACAATGTTTTTCTCTTAAACCAGTTATCAAAAACATTCTGTAAAAAACATGGTCCTTTATGTAATGTTGACTGATTGGCAACAATTTAATGCAAAAATTATATATATATATTTTGTATAACTGTTTTTGTTTTTTAGTGCAATTGTTTTTTGTTCCTTTCTACCAATTTTTGAGAATGAAATAAAATGTCTTTCTTTGATGTATTTTTTAAAACGATACAGAAAAAAGTATTTATATATATTTCAAATTATAATGTTACCATCCAAAAGATGACCATTAAATTGACGATGTGTAAAATTTTCAGAATGTTTTGATTACTGGTTTAAGAGAAATGCATGTCCAAAAAGTTCACCATATCGATACCACTCCTTTCCAGGAGTAAATATGTATGACCTTAGGTTTGAGATTTAACCTTTTGCTGACCTTCAAATTTTCAAAATGCCTAAGGGGCCTCTGTAAGATTGCTCGCAATCTTCATGTCTAATTAAAAACCTTTTTATCCAATCTTCCAATATATTCAACATTTTTAGAATATATTCAATGAACAAAAATGCCTCGGTCCATAGATTTATATATAATGTACCTTTGCGACGCACTGCTCCTGAAGGCTCTTGCAAATGGATTGTACTGGATCTTCAGGTTTTTCACATTCTGATTTTGATAAGCAGTTACTGCCATAAAGCTGACCTCAGGAAATATGAATCGTGACATCAAGGTATCGCCATTCTGTGTGAGTTTCTCTATTTCAAGAACTGGTTGATACCTGTGCATTGATTGAAGAACAGCCTGTAAAAGAATAAAGACATAAAAAACCATTGAGACTTTGAGGTATTCAAACTTAAACCCATTATACGACAGAGTATAATTCCACTAACCAAGCAGCATCAACTTCAAAATAGAGGTGAAGTAGTATAATTTTATTTCCTAACCTAATACTTATTGTATCATAGATGTATTACAAAGGCAACTTTTTCCCAGTTTTACGAATTATGCATTAAATACAAGATTGAACTTACACAGTCATTCAACCTTTCCCTATTGTTAGACAATTTCAGTGTTGCAAATGAGATCTTTGTCCGTTCCAAGAAAGATCCCAAGTTTGATCCATTTGTATATTTGAATGGTGAATTAATATTGTTATCAATGGATTTCCCAATTGAAACCCATGAGTTGTTGACATATTTATATCGCATGGCATCTGCTGGAGATATTTTCAAATATACATTGTAGAGTGCAGTTGAGTCCAGTCCACTCACAAACAGCTCAATGGGTGGGAACATACGCCTAAAAAGAAAGGTATGTATTAAAGTGAAAAAATACTGGAATGTAAGATCTCAAAAAAAAATCTATGAGATATTATAAAGGTGCTGATACTCAAGTTGATACATCCATATTAGCCTGAATTAGAGTATCCTGTTTTTGTATTATGTTCACTTGTACACCTTTTGAAACTGTATAATTTCAACATCACCTTTACATATCAGTGGGAGTATCCTGTTTCTACGTCATTTTCGTAACTTTTCAACTATACAAATCACATTATCACTTGCATTTCCAACAGAATGTTTGTGTAGATCTAACTGATTATTTCCCTGATCATAAAATATTAGGGTGTCATTGGAAGAAGTTGTTTTATGTTTATTTAGAAATATTAGCATGATAATCACCTTCCATTTCTATTAATGATCATCTCTGTTCCAGCTTTTTGAAACTCTCCCCATATTGCTGGTTCATCAATACTCATTACGATACCATCGACAGTTTGCTTAATTGTGTCCAGCGAAGCAGGGGTAGTCTTTGGAATGGCTGCATTGGATACAGCAATCTCCTTTGCCCTTTTAATGAAATAAAAAATTGAATGGATAAAGAAGTCAGAGGAAAACAGAAATGATCAAGATCATAAATGCTATGCTGATGGTTGCTACAATAGCTACAATAGCTGAAATCAGCAATGATGTACATTAAGCACTTGTTAAAATTTAAGAAGATTTCTGACATGGTAAATTACATACAGCTCAGAGGAATTACTGCAGTGCATTTCATCTTGTTCTTGATTTGCACGAATTCGGAGATCCAGAATCTGTTCGTACAATGCTGGAACACCAACATTGCTAAAAGAAGAGGCTCCTCGAGGAATGTGATAATTTGTTGACCAAGCCCCAAAACATGGGGAAAGAGAGTTTGGTCGATGTACACCAAATTGTAGTGGAGTCTGTTCATCATTTTCCGAACTAGACGAACTAGAAGATCCACTGTCAAATATTGCTCCTGGTGATGAATCCCCTGACCCTGATTCTGAGGAGTCCCTTGATCCCGTTGATCCCATTGATCCCATGCTGCTGCCAAGCTGAAAACCATTTATCATTAAAAGTTTCACATAATTAAAAGATGTATACCCAGATCCTGTGATTATAACATAATATATATCACTTGTAAAGGATGATTAAAATAAAAGGCTGTATTTTGCTATAAGTCTTAGAATCAAGGTGCTTTTCATGTTTCTAATATGATAAACCAACAGCATTTTAGATTTAGAGACCATTTTTCTTTCTTTTAGTGCATAACTTTAACTGCTTTATGTTAATTTTGAGGCTATGTATTATAGTAGAACCATAATATATATATATATTATATTGAATCTGATGCTTTGTGTTTTTCTAATAATGCCCTTGTCATTGTCAAATTAACATTTTTATTGCTTTACTAAGATTAGTTAGCTGACCATTGTACCAGAATGATAAAACTCCAAAAGTAATACATTATTTTAAGTGATCCTCTAAATTAATATAGAAAAATGTGTTACCTAAATCATCTGATTAAACAATTGGTTTCTACAAACGTAATTATCCATATAATGACTGTTTTGCTAAATCATTAGATAGTGACATATTTTTCTAGACAATAATACATGCTAGAGGATCGTTAAATTTGTATTACTTTTGGAGTTTTTTTTCATTCAAGTACAATGGTCAATTAAAGTTCTTAGTGTTTTATTGAAAGTACCAAAATAGGATCATGAATATAATATGTAGAAACCAAATTTAATCGTAAATTATATGATGTAAAGGTAACATCTACTGTGAAATTTGGTAACAACAAAATGGTGTGACATGCAAAATAGTGTTATACAAAATTTCACATTGGGGATTAAACTCATACTCCATACGTATGTAAACTTGGGTCAGACAAAAATACTGCTTCAAGAGTCAATTTTATTTATTGATTGGCATGATCATTTTTCTATAAAAGTATATACTTTAACAATTTTTAAAGCATTTTAGCAATTGATCTATAACATGTTTGCTAATGAGTAAATTATAAATCTGTTGCATGATTACTATTTTGTTGTATTTGTATTATTGAAAAGATTTGAATAAATATACAGGCACATTTGCAAAATTGGAATGATCAGAGTATTAAAGACAAAGTTACAAATAGAACATTTATAGTATAACTATAGGAAAACAGACCCGCAGTCTCCCTTCTCACACTATTCAGAACCATTATTACAAAATCACACATGGTTAGCTAGGCATGATATATCACATTCTAACCAATCAAAACACAGTATTTGATATTGATGAACTCTATATTTTTTCAATAGATGAATGGCTTTTTTCATAAGCAATGAAATTGATTCATCAATTTCATAATTTGGCTTTTCTGTCCACTAAATTAATGGCATTACCATTATCTTTTCACACTATTATTTTCTTTCTAAAAATAGAATATCCAGGATCATAAAATTAGAATTAGATTTGGAGTGAAAATGAAAGTGTACATGTATATGTGTATATGTTTTTTATGTTAAAGTGACCAGGACATACTTATATTTCTTAATCAAAAAAAAGTTGGTGTTACCAACTTTGTTTTTTACTTGAAGCTAGAAAGCATTTTGATCCCCTTGTTAGGGAATAAGATAGTAGGGGATCAATAGACTGTATTATCTCCAAAACTAAATGACAGGACTTTTGCACACTGAAAAGTTAAACAATCAGAGATGATTTTAAGAAAGTAAAAATCTTTGTCACTGTTTTCACTTTTTTTATTATTGTTGTTCGAAATTTTTTTTTTGCCTATTATGTTGCTTAGAGAAATATGTTTTAAAATGCCATCCATAGGTATAATTTCAGTAAATCCATGAAAATTATATATTAATTTAATTATTATAGTATTAATATATATGGCCCTTGTCCAAAAGTCTACCAAAATTGGACTTATCAATTAAGGTTTCTGAATTAAATTAGGAATTAGTGAGAGATACATTTGCAGGGGTTTTTCAGTATTGTATATATATATATCAGAAACTTTTCGAATTCCTGAAACTAAACCAGCTTAACAATGAAGTAACTCATGCAACGGAGGAAATGCAGATCTTTGTTGTCGATTATGAAATAATGCCAAAACATTGTTCCTTAAATAACTTCTTTTATGAATGTTTGATATGTGCATAATAGGTTCAGAATTAAAAGAAAGTCCATATCGTTTCATGCCAATAACAAATAAAATCACTCTTTTGACTTTTTGAGATGGTATCTTTATTCGACCCTGGTTGACAACCGTAACATGAAGGAGACTATTTCCCCTCTGGGAAAAATTGTTAAATATTATAACACTCATCACAACCAATATTCAATGTCTCGGTACCTTAAATAAACAGTTTTTAAACATCTTACCACTGTATTGAGAGACGTTCTTATGATTCTGGTCTTCACAGTACAGAAAAGTAATTTTATTCTATTTATTATTCTATCAGTGTGATCAATTCCATAACATAAAAATTACTGACCTTATTTCGGACAAGCCTAACAAACCTTATTCCACGATGCTGTTATGTCAAGCTATCTGATTGGCTCATGTGACATCAATATATCCTGTATTTCCACGTCGTGTGATACAGAATCTGTATTACACCCAGACATCATCCGTATCACACGCTGAGGCCTCAAAGTCTTTATTTTATATTGAAAAGCTATTTAAATTAGTATATATGCCCAATATTATTGAATAAAAAATGTTATTCAATTATTTCCCATGAAATGCAAAAAATGATATGCCTTTAAATGATGATGTACAGACTTAAATGGCACAGTATTTTCTGTGTTTTGCTTGAATCATTGAATAATTTCAATCATGTAAAGGTTATGTCTCTTTCAATAGTATAAAACAGAAACATAAACTGTGCAAAAGGTAAATTCTAGATCTGCTTTGATGTTTTTGGGTATCTTTTGATTAAATTTTGAAAAGATGATTTTACTTCAGTAAATGTTTTTAATCCACCCAAGCTATCAAAGTAATTCAAGTTTGTTTCCTTAGGTTTTGATTGAAACATCATTGTATTATTGCTGATAATATATCTAGTATTGACATTGGTAAACAGCAATATGGGATGAAGCCTTGTCCTTCAAAACTGCATTTCAAGTAACCAGAAATTTTTACATTAAAATCTATACATATAGTTATAAAGTGTTTTATAATTGAACTGGGCCAGATCGCTTTCTAGACATTTTACCCCCTGGACGTTTCACCCCTAGACTGTTCACCCCTTAGACGTTTCACCCCCTGGACATTTCACCCCTTAGACATTTCACCCCCTGGACATTTCCCCCCTTGGACATTTCACCCCTTGACATTTCACCCCCTGGACACTTAACCCTCTAGACATTTCACCCCTTAGACATTTCACCCCCTAGACATTTCATCCCTTAGACATTTCACCCCTTAGACGTTTTACCCCCTAGACATTTTAGCCTAAATTTTTTACTCCTACATATTTCATTCATTTCATTTCAGGTATAGTAGAAGGTTCCCTTTAACATAAGTTACATCTGTTTAAGTGGTTCAATTTTCATACAACCCTTATACATCTGATAGTTATGCAAATTAAAATATAGGCAGTAGAAGAAAATGTTATCTGTCTAATATATATATAACTTATATAAATACAAGAAGAGATATTTCACTTTTTGTGATTTTGTAACATGGGGTCTATGGGGAATCAACCCGAACTAGAAGTCACATTATCAAAAAAATTAAATTTTCAAAGTTGATATGCAATTTTGAATCCAAATTTCTAGATGTACTTTTACATGTAAATTTCAAATATGACATCAGAATATTTAATGGCGTAAATCAAGATTATTTCTACTCGCATCTAGTCTTGTTTTTTCATATATATAGCTCTCTACTGATTTCTCAGTTCATTGTATATTTTTTACAGTATTAAAAAAATAAGGCAAATGCAGAGAAAAAATGGCCAAAATAAGGCATCATGGTAAAAGTTTAGAGAATACTGTCACCTAATTTCAGTTTTGAGATTTCAATATTAAGAAGACTTCACAGAGAGAATTATTTAAAAAAACAGACAATATTTAGAATTATATTTTGACCTCTTATTAGGTACCAAGGATTTATTATGCTTCTGGTTTCAATCAAAACAGTTTTGAATACAATATTTTGGGGTTTTAAAGTGCATATGGCTGCTTACCATTGTTAAAAGTAGATCTGTTATTAACAATAACAAGGATGGTGTTTCTACCTTTAATACATGCTTAAGGTAACAAATACAACATAATCTAATATCAACCTTTTTGGCTATTTATCATTTATCACCTTGGTGTTGCATTTTTACATGAACATTATTTTTACTTTTGATAGGGAAGAGGGGAATTCAGATAAATGTAAGTAATCCTATGATTTATTTTAATATGTAAGTTTATAAAGCTGCATATGCAAGCAAAACAAATAGATCATAGAATGTCTCATGTATCTTTAGCATTGCAAAGGAAAAAAATGTCACAATTGTATAAAATATTCATTAAATCAGATCATAAAATAATACTTTTTCTAAATTCATGTTAAATTGTAGATTAATCAATACATAGTGGAACCCTGAATATCTCAGATATAAAAAAATTATTGATGTAAAACTGCTTCTGACCATTGTGAGTTTATGGCATAACGTATTAGTTCATTTAGATGTTTGGAAATAAGAAAATGTTTGGAAAGAGAACATTTCAGTGTATATATGCAGTTAAATGTTACCTGGCCAACATTTTTTACAAAGTTGGAGTGCAGATTCAGTGTTGTGTCCATGCAAGAATGCCCCATATGTGATCTGTTGTGTCCAGGTAGAATTGATCTGCTGTCTCGATCATTGAATCCATCATCATATCCATCCGTATCATTTTGGGTGTAACATCCCCCATTTGACTTCATCTGCTTGGCCCACAGGGTAGTTGACGGTGTTGTCATGTTATTATCTCATCTATTGCTGATATATAAATGCAAATTGAGTATACCCCTTTGATATATGCCTTCAACCTTTTTTGGATACGAAATGTGTTAATTTTATGGTTGCTCTGGTAACATGATGTCATGATATATGAACCTATCACTTTGTTTCATGTGTCAACCAATAAAATCAATCAATATGATATCATGAATAGGACAAGGATATTAACAACTTTTCAAGACACATATAATATCACCCTATGCAGACAGAGCCTGTGGGAAATATTGGGTGCGGAGCAAATGAGCGGAGGGTGCGGAGCTAACGGTTATTTTTGAATTTAAATTTGGGATATTTCTGAAACTAAGCCGTTTTGGGACTTCAAATATACCAAGATATGTGTATTTGACACCAAATATCAATACAATTGTGAAAATAGTAGCGCAATTCATTCTATAGCGACGCAGTGTGCCTTAAACCTTTCCCAGACCTATATATTTTGAAATTATCCTTTTAATACTGAGTCCCCAGCATTTATAAAAAATGGTGTTCAAGGTGCACTATCTATACAAATTATTTTTGCATTTTGGAAGCCAGGCAGTATCTGTGTGATTTTATAAAAATTCGGAAATTTTATTAAGATATGAGCCCCTCTAAATATTGGGTGCGGAGCAGCTCCATAAACGTAGCTCCGCACCCAATATTTAGAGGGGCTCATATCTGAAGAACATTTCCGAATTTTTATAAAATCACACAGTTACTGCCTGGCTTCCAAAATGCAAAAATAATTTGCATGGGTAGTGTATCTTGAACACCATTTTTTATGAATGCTGGGGACGCAGTATTAAAAGGATAGTCTCAAAATATATAGGTCTGGGAAATGTTTAAGGCATACTGCGTCGCTATAAAATGAATTGCACTACTATTTTCACAATTTTATTGTTATTTGGTGTCAAATACACATATCTTGGTATATTTGAAGTCCCAAAACGGCTTAGTTTCAGAAATATCCCAATTTTAAATTCAAAAATGACCGTTAGCTCCGCACCCTCCGCTCATTTGCGCCGCACCCAATATTTCCCACAGGCTCTGTCTGCATAGGGTGTAATATGCAAATATGTAAGTGCAAGTACCAAGGGGAAACCACCGAAAAATGGTTATAGACTGCGCAAGGAAAGAAAACATCTAAGAGTAAAGCAGTGATAAGGATATTAAACCCAATTATCCCAAAACACAATTCAATGTGAAAAGAAATAGTGTCTAATTCCCCATAGCCACTACTCAAAACATCGATCAAAAATGGTGTAAAATACTAGTATTCATACAAGATAGAGCAATCAGTCTCAAATGATGTGGGACAGAGACAATCTCCAAGTCCATAAGCATATCAAATGGTCAACATCCATCTGAAAAGCCATCGCCATAATCCATAAAAAAGCAATTATGTATTTTATTTTTAAAGTTGAGAATACCATGTTATACAAAAATAACCCAAAACAAATATATGACAGAGTATATTAGGCAGAAATCTTTCCAAGTAAAATTAGATGATACCCAAGTAAGAGATTTATTTTATGTTTCTGAATTAAATTTTCGGAAAAATGTATATTTGAATACACCCATTTATCCTGACATGTTTATGACTGCAAACTTTTACAAAATATTTTGATATACATGTACATTCATAATGGTTGAAAACTAAAAAAAATGTTTTAAATCACTTATTTAATTTAATTGCATTTGAGTTTTGTTTGAAGAAACATCATCCCATTATATTAGATTCAGTCATAACTTATGTCAGGATTACATACTGCAGATGCACTAGCATCGTCATCCAATTGTTCAAACACTCAGAATAAAAGAAAGTAAAATTGAATACAGCCTCACATTTTTTTAAATTAAATTTTCACACAATTCAGTATTTCAATCAAGGGGTCATTAGCAGCATTAGCACTATTTTTCTTTCATTTTTTTCTTTCATTTTCATTTTTGAATGTCAGCTTTTTTAAAGCTGCTATACTGCCATATCATAAACACATACCAAAATGAAAAACATGATTAGAGAAAAATCGTGGAATGAAATCTGTAGAACATTTTCTGAATTCTAAATGTACCTCAATTTGAAATATTTTAATGTTTTGTAATTTTTTTTTAAAAACATGTGACCAATCAGTTTGTTCATGATACTTTCATTTCAGTCTACCCATTGATATCAATATCTCAACTCAATCGCTACTCTCACTCATCTAGACATTGATTTCAACCTGTGGACAAAAATGATATCAATCAATGTCATATAAATGTATATAATGTATAATATATTTGTTGAGAAAATCAGAGATCTTTTAAAAAATAATGAAGAGATAAATGAATTAACATCTAAACAAATGAAATGGGAATTTCTTAAAATAAAAATCAAGGAATGTGCTATAAGATTCTCAATAGACAAAAACAAAGTTAAAACAATGGAACTTCATTACTAAAAGAAGAATTAAACAACCTAGAAAATAATTCAAATTTAGACCAAAAAGAAAAACAAAGAGAACAGGAAATCCTCCTGATTTTTGAAAAACAGCTCGAAGAAAAAACCAAAGGTGCAATTTTAAGAGCAAAAGAACAGAACGTTGAATTTGGTGAAAAAAATTCAAAATATTTTCTTAGTTTGGAAAAATCACGACAAATGAGTAATACCATTACTTCATTAAAGACTGGTAACAACTCTATAATCAGTTCTGACAATGAAATTCTTGAAGAAGAGATTAAGTTCTACTCAGAACTTTATTCCTCAAAAGCTCAAAATACAGAAAAAGTTAAAGCATATTTAAATACAATCGATTTTCCAGTGAAACTTAGTGAAAATGATAATAAATTATTAGAAGGTGAAATCACAGAATCAGAATGTTCAACTGTCATAAAAAAGATGAAATCTGATAAATCACCTGGTTCTGATGGTTTGACATCAGATTTTTACAAATACTTTTGGCCTGACATCAAGCACTATGTTTTAGATGCAATTAACGAATCATTTTATACTGGCACATTGCCAACCTCATTTAGAAAAATCATTATTTCACTTTTATACAAAAAAGGTGATAGAGAATTGTTAAAGAACTATAGACCAATAAGCTTATCAAATACTGACTATAAAATATTAGCCTTTGTACTTGCAGACAGGCTACAGTTAGTAGTTGGGAAACTTATCAGTTTACATCAAACTGCATATATAAATGGTAGATACATTGGCAATAGTTGTCGCTTGGTAATAGATATTTTTGATTATTTTAACAAAAACAACACGGAACAAGGAACAATTCTATTTTTAGATTTTCAAAAAGCGTTTGATTCTATTGAATGGAACTTTATGTTTGAAACTTTAAAAAAATTTAATTTTAATGATAACATCATAAAATGGCTCAAATTATTATATACAAATCCATTTATTAATATTAAACAAAATGGATGGCTATCTCATAATATTCCTATGGAACGCTCATGTCGGCAGGGCTGCCCCGTTTCTGCAATCGCATTCATATTATGCTGCGAAGTTATGTCTTTAAAACTGATTCAAAATGAAAAAATCAAAGGAATTGAAATTGATAACACAGAGTATAAAATATCACAATCAGCAGATGATACATCATTATTTATGAAAGACAAAGCATCCATAAGTGAAGCATTAAAAACCATTAAACAGTTTTCAAAATACTCAGGCCTACAACTCAATTTAAATAAAACAGAAGGAATATGGCTTGGAACCAATCGTGCTTTTAAAAGTAAATTTGAAAATATTAATTTTACAGATGAACCTGTAAGATATTTAGGCATATACATAGGTCACAATGAAAATAAATGCTATGATGTAAACTGGAATGAGAAAATAAATGACCTTGAAAAAACATTAGATTCTTGGAAAAAACGCTACCTTACTTTATTTGGAAAAATCACTATTGTAAAGTCTTTAGCCATATCAAAACTTGTATATTCAGCATCTATTTTATCATTTAAAGAAGAAATTATTAAACGAATTAACAATTTAATATACAACTTTTTATGGGATGGGAAGAAAGACAAGATTAGACGAACTATTGTAATAAACTCTATAGACAGTGGAGGTCTAAACATGTTAGATTTTCAATCACAGCTAAATGCTCTTAAAGCTGTATGGATTAGTCGTATATATGACAAAAACAACACATTTAATAAAATTCCGTACTTTTATTTTAACAAACTGGCTCCGAATATGGACATTTTATTAAAAATGAATGTTTTCTCTAATGAGCATCTTGATAAACTGCCTGTGTTCTATAAACAAGTTCTAAAAGCATATAATAGTTGTAAAGACCATGATATAATCAATAAATTAAAACACCATGAAATAATCCAACAAACCATATGGAATAACAGATTATTTCAATTGAAAGGCAAACCACTTTTCTTCAAATCTTGGATAGATAGTGATATTATCTATGTCAAAGATCTCATAACTCAAAATGAATTTTTAAATGTTAACTATATTTTTGAAAAGTTAAAAAAAAAAAATTGGATTTCTGAATATTTTCAAGTCCTAACTGTAATGAAATCAATAAAAGGCTTTATTAATATAGAACAAGTAAAATTCACAAATATACCAAGAAAACCCAACTTTAAAGTAAAAAACATCCAATTAGACTTTAGAGGTAAAAAATCCAATTTCTTTTATACAATACTGAAAAATAAAAAATCTGAAAAATGGTTTACCTACAAGAAATGGGAAAGAGATTTTTGTATAACAAATGAAGGTAAAATAGATGAAATAAATTGGCCAAATTTTTTTACTAGCAAGATAATAAAAGTTAAAGACAAAAAAATTGCCAATTTTAATTTTAAAATAATTAACAATATTCTTCCTGGATTAACTGACTTATTTCTCTATGGGATAACAGATAATTATCATTGTAGTATTTGCAATAATTTATGTGACTTGAAACATATTATTTTTGAATGTTCCTTAGCAAAAGATATATGGGCACTGATACATAAAACATGTGGCCTTAATATTTCTT